AATTCGACTAAGGTTCAAATTCAAGAGTGGTTGACGAATCAGAATATACCTTATTCAGTCACCATGTTTAAGGCTGAACTTTTGAACCTTGTTAGACGGTGAGTAATGGAAATATACTTTTTCTGTATTTTTTATGATTTAATTTTTTTAGTAATAAACCACCAAAAATATATGTAGCCGATATGCTGGCTGAACAGTATGGACATAAGGTGTTACGTCTTCCTCCTTACCATTGTATTTTTAATCAAATAGAACTGATTTGGGGTATTTCAAAACAATATTATAACAGGCACATTGGTTGGGATGGAAAGACACAAAGAGATTGTATAGACATGTGGTCTGAAGCACTCCGAACCATTACCCCATAAATGTGGGCAAACAGTGTAAGACACACTGAAAGAAATTTTTAAATGGTGTAAAAGAGAGCATATACTGGACCGATTGGAAATTGCTCCCATTATTATAACACCAAATAGAGATGATTCTGATTTTAGTTCTGATTATTCTGACTGATTTTAGCTTAAATATTATTGTCATGTGTTGTTAATTTTATTACCTAACTATTGTTACTTCTTTTAAATATGGATGTTTACAAACTAACTGAACATAATTATTTTTTATTGTAAATTAAATCAAGCCTAAATAAAATTTGTTTGTTTTTTCATCCTTAACCTAACGTTTTTTTGTCATTTTAAACCTGTTGTGCAAAATTTATTACTATTAAATTCAGTGTTTTTCTAAAACTTTAATTTAAACATTATCAATGACCTTCATTGGCTTTTATATAGAATTCATTATACATTTAAAATTAATTGTTCCTAATAACATAGCCAAAAAACATAACCTCATAGTTTTAAAAATTCCTACATTCTTAGACTATTTTGAAGATTGGGCAACACTGCAAGGCTATGACTTCACAACTGATTGATGACGTGTATCGGTTTTTATATTGAATGCTCTATATTTAAGGCGACTTAAACCGTTCTGCCTGGAGGAGCGCTGATGAAAGGGTCGTTACTACAGCACTCCCCGCTCTTGACTGCCGATGTTCTTTTCCATACTACAATTAACAAAAATTTGTTTAATCCTAGAGTATTTACATAATCAAAAAAGAAATCCCAAAGTTTACATCATTTATTTAGTGTAACAATCAAAAAGTGAAAAAATAATTGATCTAAACAATAAATTTAAAAAATAACAAGGGTATTTTGTGAAATAGAAAAATAAAATAAAAATAATTACATTATTCCATGGTACCTACAGAAAAACATTTATCTAACTTGAGCATAACCTTAATATCTAGATATTGTAATAGAAATGATTTAAAATTCAAAGATATTCAGTAAAATATGTATTTGTGTAAATAAAAAAATTTTTTAATAAAAGATATCATCCTGTACATAAAATTTGAATTTGAAGGGGATGTCAAATGAATTAAAAAAGTCAGAAATATCCGGAGTAATAAAAGATTAGATTTTGGAAATTTTTTGAAAAATAACTAACGGAGAACCAATTTATAATTTTTTAAAGGACTTTTAATGATCTAAATTCAAAAGTTTCTGTAAAATTGTAAATAATTATAAAAGTTTGTGAGACGATAATAATTGACACGTCAAATAGACAAGTGGTATCGGTCCGTTGTACGGTGGAGTAGTGGACTGGTTGAATTGTATGGTGACCAGAGGACAGTACAAATTGCAGCTTGATTGTAAAAGGTAGAAATACAATCAGTAGGAGATTTGTTCCAGTTAGAAAAACAGACATTTTCATGTGAGTAATAAAGGTTTTATTGATGTGAAAATAAAGGACAGTTTATTGTTTGATAGTGTATTTGCCAGAGGCTGTCTTTACTATTAGTGATACATTTATCAGACAGTAGATTAATTGTAGATATTAGAATATAATTATTTCAATTGATTATTGAAATGTCAAAATTTGATTAAATGTCACTTTAAAAGATACTAAGTTAGATTTTGAATTAAATTTTTAATTTAAATTGTCTGATAGATCATATTAATAATAATAATGATAATAATAATAATAAGTAAGTGTGAATGGTGAAGAATGGTTTAGTTTAATTAAGTTAGGAGATAAGAAAATTTTCTAATGTTCCGAAAATTTGAAATTTGTTACAATTTACTGATAATAAATTAGAAACTTTTGTATTTAGAAACTGTCTATTTATAAAAAAAAAATTTTTACAAGGTGATACAATTAACAATAATAACACATAATATTATTAATTATTATATAAATTATAATTAAGGTAGTTTACTGTTGGAATTGTTGTTGCTACTATTTAATAAATAAACTAAATAAACTAAATAAACTAAATAAACTAAATAAACTAAATAAACTAAATAAACTAAATAAACTAAATAAACTAAATAAACTAAATAAACTAAATAAACTAAATAAACTAAATAAACTAAATAAACTAAATAAACTAAATAAACTAAATAAACTAAATAAACTAAATAAACTAAATAAACTAAATAAACTAAATAAACTAAATAAACTAAATAAACTAAATAAACTAAATAAACTAAATAAACTAAATAAACTAAATAAACTAAATAAACTAAATAAACTAAATAAACTAAATAAACTAAATAAACTAAATAAACTAAATAAACTAAATAAACTAAATAAACTAAATAAACTAAATAAACTAAATAAACTAAATAAACTAAATAAACTAAATATACTAAATAAACTAAATAAACTAAATAAACTAAATAAACTAAATAAACTAAATAAACTAAATAAACTAAATAAACTAAATAAACTAAATAAACTAAATAAACTAAATAAACTAAATAAACTAAATAAACTAAATAAACTAAATAAACTAAATAAACTAAATAAACTAAATAAACTAAATAAACTAAATAAACTAAATAAACTAAATAAACTAAATAAACTAAATAAACTAAATAAACTAAATAAACTAAATAAACTAAATAAACTAAATAAACTAAATAAACTAAATAAACTAAATAAACTAAATAAACTAAATAAACTAAATAAACTAAATAAACTAAATAAACTAAATAAACTAAATAAACTAAATAAACTAAATAAACTAAATAAACTAAATAAACTAAATAAACTAAATAAACTAAATAAACTAAATAAACTAAATAAACTAAATAAACTAAATAAACTAAATAAACTAAATAAACTAAATAAACTAAATAAACTAAATAAACTAAATAAACTAAATAAACTAAATAAACTAAATAAACTAAATAAACTAAATAAACTAAATAAACTAAATAAACTAAATAAACTAAATAAACTAAATAAACTAAATAAACTAAATAAACTAAATAAACTAAATAAACTAAATAAACTAAATAAACTAAATAAACTAAATAAACTAAATAAACTAAATAAACTAAATAAACTAAATAAACTAAATAAACTAAATAAACTAAATAAACTAAATAAACTAAATAAACTAAATAAACTAAATAAACTAAATAAACTAAATAAACTAAATAAACTAAATAAACTAAATAAACTAAATAAACTAAATAAACTAAATAAACTAAATAAACTAAATAAACTAAATAAACTAAATAAACTAAATAAACTAAATAAACTAAATAAACTAAATAAACTAAATAAAATAAATAAACTAAATAAACTAAATAAACTAAATAAACTAAATAAACTAAACTAAATAAACTAAATAAACTAAATAAACTAAATAAACTAAATAAACTAAATAAACTAAATAAACTAAATAAACTAAATAAACTAAATAAACTAAATAAACTAAATAAACTAAATAAACTAAATAAACTAAATAAACTAAATAAACTAAATAAACTAAATAAACTAAATAAACTAAATAAACTAAATAAACTAAATAAACTAAATAAACTAAATAAACTAAATAAACTAAATAAACTAAATAAACTAAATAAACTAAATAAACTAAATAAACTAAATAAACTAAATAAACTAAATAAACTAAATAAACTAAATAAACTAAATAAACTAAATAAACTAAATAAACTAAATAAACTAAATAAACTAAATAAACTAAATAAACTAAATAAACTAAATAAACTAAATAAACTAAATAAACTAAATAAACTAAATAAACTAAATAAACTAAATAAACTAAATAAACTAAATAAACTAAATAAATTAAATAAATTAAATAAATTAAATAAACTAAATAAATTAAATAAACTAAATAAACTAAATAAATTAAATAAATTAAATAAACTAAATAAATTAAATAAATTAAAGAAACTAAACTAAATAAAATAAATAAATAAGTAAATATTTTATTTTCTTGAACTGACACCACTGTGATAGAGTCTGCTCTACAAAAGTGTAAAATAAAATATATATAAAAAAAAACTAGCCAAGGTAAGTCAAGTTAGTGTGTATATTTTATTTTTTTTAATTGTGAGGTTATGAAATAGATAGTGAATATCATAACAATATTTATTTGTTTATCACTTTCACTGCCCAGCTCTCTAAGCCTGCACATGTGCAGTGCCCACCATACTTATGTTTTTAAAAATACAGATGTTTAACTTTATTTTATAGAATTTAGTAAATGTAAGAATAAAACAAAAACGCGGGAAACACGTGAAAGCCATCCAGCTATTAAAATATCCAATAATTTTTTGCAAAATTATAATTTTATCCAATATATCCAGAACGTAGTAAAGCCGCATTGTGAATGTTGAAAGTATTAAGACCTTCATATACATCTAACTTACAAAATAACAGACACAAATAAAATATTAAACCCTTTTTAAAGCAGCTACCTGGGCTTCTTTATTTTTAATATCTAGACATAAAGCTTTTTTCTTCAACTCTTGTTCTTCTTGCTCACGGAATTCCCTCAATTTTCTTTGTTTCCTTTCATATTCTCTCTTGTTGTCCAAATCTACTTTACATGCAGTCAATATGCTTAAACTGCATATTAAAAAACAAACTGATTTTTTTTATATCTGCCACTTCTTCATATTTTAAAGCCACATTTTTTCCTGTGACTCACGATTGCGCTTTCTATCAATAATTCCACTTTTAATACTAATCACTGCCCTTCCTGCTGTTGATGAACTAGCCACTGTAGATAATAGTGATGAAGAACCAACCACTGTCCCTCCTGATGATGATGGTGTACATATTAATAATTTTGCTGGAGATTCATCCTAGAAAAAAAGAAGTATTTTATTAGAAGGATTCAAACTAAAATATATCTTACCTACCACAAAATTATTTTTAATTTTATCATCATCCATTAGAAGAATAATAATTCCATCACTTTTATTTGCTACATTAGCAATTACCGATTTTTCATCGTTTACACCATCGACTGTGCTTGTTCTAAATCTGATTCAACATCATCATCGAAATTGTTGTGCAACCCAAACAGATTAAAAACTGCATTATCTTTAACGTTTACAATCGGCATTCCACCACCAGTTCTTTTAAATTTTACATTTTGTACTAAAGTCTGTTTCCGTGTTTCCTTCTTTTTATTATTATAGTAGCGTTTTAGGACTTCTTCTAACCTTGGCGTGGATGAGTTACTGCTGAATTCCCGTTCAACATTTTTCCACGCTTCTTCCTTATTCTTCCAAGTAACCCCACCTGTCTCTTTATTTTCAATAATGTTTTTATACTTTCTAATTATGTACAATATATAAATTTTGACGCTTTTTCTGGCTCGTTTTAATTTAAAAACACGATAAAAAAATACAATAAAAAATCTAATATAATTTACTAAAAGACACGTGCAAAAATTGTTAAAACCACAAAACATTGAGATAACTGAACTTTGTAGGTTAAAAACAGAATAAACAACAATTACTTCCAAAAAGTTCCCAAAATTCGGTAATGCCAACAGGAGTATCGAAATGTTAAGTTATAGTTACTTAACAAACAATATTAATCTAGTGGTGCAAAGCATTTCAAAATAAATTATGGATTAATTGAACCAGTTGTCCCAATCTTTAAAAAAGGCTACATATTGTACATATATCAAAATAACTATTTAGTCATTAGTCTCATATGTGTTGTAAAACTGACTGAAAAGTGACAATGTCAATAATTGTTAAAAAAACTTGCACACTATTAACACGCTTGATAAATCTCAAGAACGTATCGCAAAGAAACTACAACATTAACCAGAAAACTCAAAAAACGACTGAAAAACCTCTTCAACAGCCTAGTAATTTCGGTAGCAAAGTATTCTATTACTAAACCCCTATTACAGATTTAAAATTACATAAAGGATACTAACGAAAATCGATTTTGTTTTTATTTTTCTATGACAATGCTTTATAATTGCAGGTAGTTCGTTTTGAAGCTCACGATTCCTGAATTAATTAAATATTGCACGCATATAACGATCAAACTGGTCTGAAATGATTAAGGTAGAAAAAAAATGTATTATAAGTTTCCATCGTTATCGAACATAGCCGCATCATCGTTTTCTTATAATGGTTCTTGCAAAGATTTTACATTTTCTTTTTCAAAGTCTTCTTGAAAAAAAAATATTTTTTTTTTCAAGTATTTTTTTGTGTAAATAATATTTATTTAAAAAACTATGTACGAATTTTTTTCATTAGAATCGGTAAGTTATGCAAAGCAGACTACCCAAAAGGTATGAGGCTATTGTTTAAAGAAGAAGATATAAAAGAAAAAGAAGAAGAGGAAACTTATAGTTATGGAACCAAGACATAAAACAGCCACCAAATGAAGAAGAGTTACGAATTTTTGAAAATAGTAGTCTCATGTATGTTGTCTCAAAACGAGAAACTATACATATATAACAAAAAATTACATTGAAAACAAAATAATTCCCAGCTGGCGATTAAGTAGAATCTTGCTAGTTCTTAGGTTTGAAGCTGCAGTTACGTCATTTTTTATTTATTCTATGTTGGTTTTATATACATATAACTTTAACCTCACACTTTTTTTTAGCTCAAATTTTTTTCATTATTGTCTTCGTCGAAGGTTGGTTTAATATAATATAGTATAGCGTTTAAGTAACTGATCTTTTATACTCACTGCATTGTATATAAAATATTTTGATATCGTGAAAGTATGATTATGAAAAATAAATTTGACCCCAGTTAAAATAGCTTATGGAGCTTCAACAGGTCTTAAATGAGACATTCATAATAAAAAGGAAACAGTATAGAACTATAGAGATGATTAAGTCACATTTAGTAGGCATGTATAAAACCTGCACATTAATTGATCAAATTTTTGTGATATAATGTACAATGGTTACGTGTTGTGTCACTGATAACGAAATTTCAGTTCATCGTTCAGTTTCTTGTGATTTCAGTCTCTTTAAAGTTTTAGAAAAGGATTTAAAAATGAATGTAGCGAAAAGAAATTTTAGCGAACATAATATGGCGCAGTTTAAACAAGCTCTTTCCAATGAAGACTGGACAATTTTAAATAATATTAGTACTCTTGATAATGCATTTTCGTACTTTTATGACATTTCTAAAAATCGTTTTAATTTTTGCTTTCCTGAAAAACAAAGTGACTTACAAAAAAACAAAAAAGTTGGATAGATGCCGAAATTGCTGCCTGAAGTCCATTATTAAAAGACCTTTTTATATTAAAAAAATGTAATCCTTATTTTACCAAAATATATAAAGAATGTAAGAAAAATCATTCCATTTTAGTACAATTAAAGAAAAAAGAACACTATCAAAAACATATTTCAAGATCAGACAATACTATAAAGACTTGTTCGAATGTTGTCTCAGAAATTACGAATAGGCAAAGTTCTGTCCCAACTACTGTCATAAAAAAGGACGGGATGTTATTGGATGATCCACGGTAGGTAGCTGCAGAGTTTAATAGTTTTTTAAATAATAACAAAGCCTACTAGTAACATCGAAGGAATCACATCAAATAAATATTCTTTCTTCCTCACTCCATTTTCTCACACAGAATTATTAAATTTATTACTTAGGAAAATTGAAAACAAAAGATCTTCTGGAGCCGATGATGTACTATGTTTTATACTAAAACAAGTAATAGATGTTCTCTATGAACCTCTAATATATTTGGTAAACTTATCATTTGAGATGGTCAGTTTTCCTCAAGCTTTAAAACTGGGGAAAGTTTTACCATTGCATAAGAAAAATGATCGTAAACAAATAGAAAACTATAGACCTGTTGCTGTTCCCTGTGGTCTGTCTAAAATCTTTGAATATGCCTCTCTTGTCCGTCTTCTGTCTTTCTTGAAAAAGTACACATTATAACAGGAAATCAGCATGGACTCTGTGCTGAAAAATCAACAACAACTGCTATGCTTTCATTTTACAATAAAACTATTCACAATTTGGAGGAATATGAATACCCAGCTGCTATCTTTGGTGATCTCAGTAAAGCATTCGATTGTGTAAACCATGAGTTGCTATTAAATATATTGGAGAAATATGGAATCTGTTTTAAATTGGATCTCAACCGTTTTACGTGCTAGGAAGCAATATATTTCGTTAAAAGTACAAAACGACAACAAAATCAATACTACTAATTCTGATACACTAAATATTAATATGGAAATTCCTCAGGGTTCCATTTTGGGACCCATTTTGTTCATACTGTACTTAAACAATATTGATTTATTAATAGGTGATAATCATTATGTAAGTGATGCAGATGATTTCTCGGCTATAATTTTAGCTAAAAATACGGATTTACTAAATAGAGAGAGCTCTAACATCGCTAAAAAAATGTCAAGTTACTTTAATAGCCTTGATTTATTTTTTAATGCTAATAAGACCTAAATACTTAGATTTTATAACAGGCCACATAACGTTGAGTCCCTAGACATTAGTTTGGCAAGACCATTTGGCTTTCTAACATTTTTTTACAAACTATTTAATAACATTTTCGGAAACATTCAATTTCTTCAATTTTTTGAATAATGTTAACTCGAAGCTGTTCAGGTATTTGAGGGTTATTAGCATAAACTTTTCCGTTCAAAAAGTCCCAAAAGAAATAGTCCAATGGTGTAAAGTCGCACGATCTAGGCGGCCAATTAACTTTAGCTCTTCGAGAAATTATTCGATTGCCAAATCTCTTCCTTAAAAGATGTGGTTTATTTTTGTTTTCTTTATTTTCTACTTTAATATAATTTTTTATTTCTTTTTTTACTTTCTTCACCTTCTTCCCAAAGATTTTTATCTTCCCACCAGTCTCAAATAGCACCTTCTTTGTATTATCATCTGACTTCTTTATATAATTTATCATTTTTTATTTTCACCATTATTATTTGAAGTATGTTCATTATATTCATTTCGGTTCTACACTCCTTAATTCTTTTCCTCCCGAAATTTTCCTTGACTCTGCTGATCATCTTCCCCTTGACTCACCTGTTCTTCATGATTAATTCTTGTATCACTTTAATAATTTTATCTATTGCTCCTGTTTCATGGTTACTCTATTTTATATATTCATACTTCACTACTAGCTATTTAAATATCTCCCCTCTCTCTCTCACACTATCCCTATTTCACAACCAACACACATTGCTATTGCCAAATTTTTGCCTGACACATTGGTCGTCAACTTGTAGTGGTTACACTCTAGAAAGGTTAAACCATTCCAATACCCTAAAGTATTAAGAAATTATCATTCCTCTGGCTTTCTAAACATTTTGAAATAAATAACTAAATAATAATAGTAATTATAATAAAATTCAAATTAAAAAATCTGATGTGTCCAACACATGACTTTCCTATCTAGTTATTATAGGCTTTTTCCGGTTATTTTGTACAACCTATTGCAGCATCTCTATAAATATTTAGAGGATAAACTAAATATATACATTGTCCACATACATCTACCTCGAAACATTTTTCTATAGATATTCATTGAAAACGAAAATACTGAAAAATCTAAATTTAGCACTTTTCCATTACGGTCCATTTTAGAAAAATCATGTATAAACAAAAATTATAGAGATCGATATCGCAAACAACTTTTAGTTCAACAATTTTCATAAAAATCAGAATTTTACACATTTTGTCAAATTTCTCGAATAAGGACCATTTCAGGAAATTTTGACATAAAACAAAAATTATAGATAATAATATTAGAAGTAACTTTTATTTGAACAATTTTCTTCTCCAAACATAAATAACAGATATATTCCATAAAATATAAAAACGGCCTCCCATAAAGTACCCCCCCAGATGTTCCGACTTTGTCCAAAATCTAATCATTTCACGTCAGATCGAAATAAACCTTAAGTTTAAAATTTAATGTTTTTTTCTTTATCCGTTTTTGAGTTTTCTTCAAAATTCGAAATTTACACATTTTCTCAAATATCTCGAATACGGTCCATTTTAGAGAAATTATGTATGGAATAAAAATTATAGAGAATTATATTAGAAACAACTTTTATTTGAACAATTTTTATAAAAATTTTTTTTTTTTACATTTTGTCAAATTTCTCGAATAACGACCATTTCAGGAAATTTTGACATAAAACAAAAATTATAGATAATAATATTAGAAGTAACTTTTATTTGAACAATTTTCTTCTCCAAACATAAATAACAGATATATTCCATAAAATATAAAAACGGCCTCCCATAAAGTACCCCCCCAGATGTTCCGACTTTGTCCAAAATCTAATTATTTCACGTCAGGCCGAAATAAACCTTAAGTTTAAAATTTAATGTTTTTTTCTTTATCCGTTTTTGAGTTTTCTTCAAAATTCGAAATTTACACATTTTCTCAAATATCTCGAATACGGTCCATTTTAGAGAAATTATGTATAAAATAAAAATTATAGAGAATTATACTACAAACAACTTTTATTTGAACAATTTTTATAAAAAATTATTTTTTTTTACATTTTGTCAAATTTCTCGAATACGGACCATTTTAGGAAAATTTTGCATAAAACAAAAATTATAGATAATTATATAAGAAGTAACTTTTATTTAAAGAATTTTCTTCTCCAAACGTAAATAACAGATATATTTCATAAAATATAAAAATGACCACCTATAAAGTACCCCCCCACATGTTTCGACTCTGCCCAAAATCTAATCAGCTCATTGGACGCTGAAACAAAGCTTACGTTTAAAATTTGGTGTTTTTCTGTGTATCGGTTCATGAGGTATGCGTTATACAGACACACACACACACACACACACACACACACACACACACACACAAACACACACACACACACACACACATACACACACACACACACACACACACACACACACACACACACACAAACACACACACACACACACACACACAAACACACACACACACACACATACACACACACACACACACACACACACACACACACACACACACACACACACACACACACACACACACACACACACACACACACACACACACACACACACAGACACACACACACACACACACACACACACACACACACACACACACACACACACACACACATCGCAAAAATAGTCAAAACGGATTCAGGGGACCTCAAAACGTAAAAATCCGTCGAAAACTCGAGGTCGAAAAAAATCATGATTCCTATACTTTCCTTATATCTGTATACAGATAGGAAAGTAAAAATATATATCTAAATCTTCCGCTTGGCTTCTCTCTTCTTACACTTGATTCTTCTGCCTTCTGTTTTACCTTCTGACCTTTTTTATGCCTATCGTACTTCTGCCTGGTTTTATCTTTCTATGGTCCACTACGTTCTCCTCTCACTCTTACTCGATTTATTCCCTCCTACTGTACTATCCTTCCTGATTTGTCTAAATAATATTATAACGATTTAAAGTTCTCAATGCTGCTTTTTTTATGTTCTTCTTCTTTTTCTTATTCTTCAGCCTTTATTATAGTCTATGTCCATAGTACAATTTGTCCAGCAATTTGAGAGTTAACGCTATCCATAGAGTTCAGCTTAGACACTATTGAAAAATCACAATAGGTGTGAAGACCATTTAATCAATTGTTGAATATTAAAAAAATTGTTCAGAATATTTTAAATACAATTATATTGAACCAATTGGAAAACACAGGAGAATAAGGCTCGAGGTATTTATTTGTATTGATATTAATGTTGTGATTTTAATCGATCTTCATGCTGCAAAACTTAAAAATAGAAGAAGTTGTTTGTATTACCTTTATTCAGTGATTACTGAAAATCTGTGGTGTATGTCAAAGAGTAAAATTAATTAAGTTCATTTTAGTTTTGTTCCCTTTGCCCAGCTCAATGCGCCGTCCTGCTATTTCAGCAAAATGGTATTATAATTTTCCATCGGATCATGTCCCGCAAAAAGGCTCATTGCTCCAATATCATCCCAATGAACTACAACAAAAAAAATGGCAGGCTCTTACCAGAAGAAGCCCATACCTACGATCAAATAATGACCTAGACTATAATAAGGCGTATGTAATTTCTTACTTTAACTATCTTCACTTCGTCTATACCATTCATTAGGACGTATTTTAAAAGTTTTCTGGGTTTTACTACATCACGCATTTACGCTGAATCTCATTTATGATGGTACATTCCGCAGTAAAAATTAATGAAAATTACCTCGAGTGCACATTCAAAAAGTCAGTGAACCAAAGACGTGAAAAATGGTGTGCGTCGGTTAATGCTTCACCTTGAGCCAAGGTGGAAGTTTTTTCCTTAAGGGTACTTAAATGGGTACCTATATTCTTTTACAAACAGCTTCTCTGCCGCCGAGACATTATGACGGTGCGTTTTAAACCTTCCTTCATACATGCCCTATTTTATGATACCAGGAATGCACCAAAAATTATGGAGATCTCAGAACATTTTTACGGGTGTCATGAGAACGTAGCTGGAGTCATTTTGTCAAACAGTTACTTCATTACTTTACTTTACTTTACTAGTGGCTTTATTTGTATAATATTTTACAATACAGGCATTCACAACAAAATATTAGGTACCTAATATAAGTTTAAAAAGTAGAATTATTAATGACAACAAATTTGATAAAAATTACAAAGGTACAATAATATAACTTTTCCTAGAACCACGAATGAAAATTATAGTTTATATTTAAGAAAGTAACTTATATCACACGTGTACTGAAATATATACCACACTTGTATTGAAAAGTAACAAAACACACATGTATTAAAAAGTAAAAAAATATAGTCCTATGACCTGTGACATATATGTCAAAGTTATCATTATAATTTTCAATACACATTTTTTGAGGTTATGTTAGTGCACTTTTGTGTAGTTGTCTATTAGTTTGAATATATGAAGTTTGTTGGGATTTGTGTACAAAAAACAATTTATTGTTCAAGAGAACAATTTAATAAGTAATGCTAGAAATTTAAAAAGAATCGAAATATAATAAAGTATAAATATTAATACAGTGTTGTTCTAATTATATTTTAAAACATGTAAATAAATCAAAGTAGATATCAGAACCACTGCAAAATTTATTGTAAATAGAACATGTTGAAAACATTGGCGATTTTGTTTGAAGGTAAAAACATTGGTTAAGTCTGCTCACAATTCAAGGAATATGAAAATTTAAAGAACTTAATAGTTCTGAGCAATTAGTTTTAGAATTCACTAGATTGTAAGCAAATATGCAAGAGTGGTATTGTCTACGATTAGCCAGCGAAAAAAAGGCAAACCTATTGAGAAATAGATTGTTATTAATACCTTGGACAGGAAAAGTACGAATAAGCTTAAAAGTGACATACTTTATAAAAGATCATTGAACTATTTCAATTTGATTATTGTCAAAGCAGCATATTCAAGACGCGATCGGACACATGAAAAGTATAATCTTTTTAGACAAGAAATTGAATTGAAGTCTTTACAGTTTCTGCAAATAAAGCCTAGCATTCTTCTAGCACTTAGGACTATTTTGCTGGTGTGGTCCGAGAAACTGAGCTTTGTATCAAAAATAATTACTCCAAGGTCCTTGATTTGAGCAACTTCAGTTAAGGGAGAGTTTTGAATGGAGTAATGGAATAAAATGTTATTGGTTTTTAATGAGTAACGGACAAACTTGCATTTCTTGATGTTTAATGGTAGAGGAAGGACGACAAATATGAAATACTTTTTTAAAAACTGCAAAATTAATAAACAAGGTACAAACGATTACTAACAACATATATTTAAACAGGTATAACTTGTTTTAGCAAAAATCAAAACGTTTTAAAAGCTTTTAGTCTATTAGGCCATCATTAGAGACTTCGTTAAAAACTATAGAAGCATGAAAATTGAACTAAATTAAAAAGGACAGCAACAAACCGGTCCCCAGCGGAGGCAAGTGCCCCAACTTGCCTCCGCCTCACGGTAGCAACTTGAAAATCTGGTTGTCTTCATGTTGAAGACCAGCAGTTTTTCTGCCTTTGAATGGT